AAAAAAAAAAAAAAATAGCCACTCAAAATTTAAGCGAGATACGGACCTGTTCTTGTTTAGAGTTGTTCTAATAGAGAAAAGTTGCATTCGAATCGGCATTTTCCTGAATTTCTGAGATTTGATGGAAAATTTTTGTCTTCGCTTTCACTCACTGAAGAGAAATTTTCAAAAAATCCCCACTCAAAATTGAAGAGTCATAATGCCAGTCATAATTTAAACGATATTTGAAATTCACCCTATCCCACTAAAAAACTCGATTCGAATCAGGATTTTCGCGAATTTTTGATATTTGATGCAAAACATGGCTTTGAGACTTTCTGATAAGAAATTTTCAAAAAATTGCCACTGAAAACCGAAGCCAGATAGGGACTTATTCTTCCTTTCCTTAAAAAGGAAAAAGCTCACCCGATTCCACAAAAAACTTGAATTCAAATAGCAATTTTCCTGATTTTTGGAATCCGATCGAAAACTTTGCCTACGCTTCGAGACTTCCTCACAAGAAAATTTAAAAAAATCGCCCACTCAAAATTGAAGCCAGGTGCGGATCTGTTCTTTCTTTCCCGATATAGAGAAAAATTTACCCGATGTCACAAAAAACTCGCATTCAAATCGAAATTTTACTGAATTTCTGGGATTCGATGAAAAACTGTCCTCGTTTTCATATTAATGGAAGCAATTTACCAAAAATCGCCACTCAAAATCGAAGCTAGATACGGACCTGCCCCTACTTTCCTTATAAAGAGAAAAGTCTACTCGAGTGTACAAAAAACTTGTCTTCAAAACGGAATTTTCCTGATTTTTGGGATTCGATGGGAAACTTGGTCTCCGCTTCGAGACTTCCTACTAACAAGAAACTTAAAGAAAAATGCCACTCAAAATGTAAGCGAAATACGAACCTGCCCGTGCTTTCCTTAAAAAGACAAAAATTCTCATATTCCACCAAAAAAACTTGCATACAAAACGGGATTTTCCTAAATTTTTGGGATTCGATAGAAAACTTTGACTTCGCTTTGAGACTCACTGAAGGGAAATTAAAAAAAGATTACCACTCAAAATTGAAGCCAAATATGGACCAGCTCTTGCTTTGTTTGGATGGAAAAAAATGCATCCTATTCCAAAAAACTTACATTCAAAACGCGATTTTCCTGAATTTTGGGATTCGTTCGAAAACTTTCTCTCCGCTTCGACTTCCTAACAAGAGAATTTTAAAAAATAGCCTCCTAAAATTCAAGTGAGATACTGACTCTTAGTTCCCTTATAAAGAGAAAAATTAACCCGATTTGATCAGCCACTCAAAATTGATGCGAGATACGGACCTGTTCTTGCTTTCCCAACAAAAGAGAAAAATTCAACCCATTCCACAAAAAACTTGCATTCGAAACGCGATTTTCCTGAATTTTTGCCATTTGTTCGAAAACTTTGCCTCCGCTTCGATACTTCCTAACAAGTAATTAAAAAGAAATAGCCACTCATAATTTAAGCGAGATACGGACCTGCTTTTGCTTTCCTTATAAAGAGAAAAATTAACCCGATTTCACAAAAAAACCGCATTCGAATCGGAATTTTCCTGAATTTTTGGGATTCGTTCGAAAACTTTCTGTCCGCTTTAAGGCTTACTAACAAGAAAATTTAAAAATCAGCCACTCAAATTGATGCGAAATACGGACCAGCTCTTTCTTTCCTAAAAAAAGAGAAAATTCACCTTATTCCACAAAAAACTTGCATTCAAATCGCCATTTTCCTGATTTTTGGGATTCGCAAAGATAAAGTTTAGCTCTATTTCAGAAAAAAGTTTCATTCCAATCGGTGTTTTCCTCAATTCAGGTGTTTGATTGAAAACAACGTTGTTTTAGC